GTTTAAACTTAACAAACACACCCCAAGCCATTGCCGGTAGCCAGCCACCACCATTGGTGGGTGCTGGCAGTGCCACAAATCTGGTCGTGATGTCGGCAATGCCACAGATCTGGCCATGAAACGTCGGCTGTTTCACTGCCAAAGACCTACCTGTTTCATGGCCAGATCAGTCGTCCTTTCATGGCCACATGCTTGGCCGTGAAATGGCCTTAGATCTGGCTTTTTCCATCCATGGTCAGAAAAAGCCTCACCAATGCATGGTCGACCCCTCACCAACGCATGGTCGGCCGTATACGGCCAGTCGTACTCCATTATGGCAACTTTTGGCAACCTCTGGTGGTAGTCGATGGTGGCTGCCAGTGGTGGCTAGTTCTGGGTATAAAGTTATTTCTGTAAATAATGATAATAACAAGGGCAATGTCGTCTGAAAAATTTAAAAAGCTAGGACAAAAGTGTTTGTATGAGTGATTCGTTGTTTTGTAAATATTAACAAATATAAGGTTAATTTGGACCAAATGCTCAACTATTTAGGGGCAATATGAGAAAAAAAAATTGTAATACTAGGGTAAGTTTTAATAACAGCAACCCCCCAAGTATTAAGATTATCGGAAATATACCCCCCCAAATGCTACTGTTTGTCATAAAATATTCCGGGATTAATTTTTTACAAACCAACCAAACATTGTAATTTGCTCAATTTAAAACATATTACCCCAGTTATCTAATATTAACCCAATCCAAACGGCCCTTAGTGGTTACTATTGGTAATATTGGAGATAATCTGATTACCTCTATTTTCTTAGGTATTCTAAGATTACCAGGGTTATCTTTTTTTGTTACAATTCTATCCCTTATTAATAAAATTTTAGGACAATAATGCCCTTACTTTTGAATTTATTTACATAAATATGATTTTTACTATTTCAACCTAATTAATTAACTTTTTAGACAAAATTACCCTTAAATTCAACACAAATTGCAGTCCACCCAAGCAACTACCCCCACCCACCTACTGCTGGTAACCACCGCTGCTGCCAGCCGCCATCGGAACGACGCACGAAAAGCCAAAAATGGCCGCCGTGCACCAATATGGTCATTTTTGGTCAGACCTCTGGTCGGAAATGGCCATATTGCACACGGAAGGGTTGCTGACTGCCGGCGGCCTGTGGTGGTTGCCAGTGGCCGACAGTGGCTGGGTTGGTGGGGGTGCTTCATTGATTTTTCAAACTTTTATTATGGCGTTGTTTTTGCTAAGTTTTTAATTAGAGGGGGCTTATAATAATCAATATTAAAAAATACTATATAATAATAATATTTAATTAGAGGACAATTCAGTAATTTAAATAATATACCCACCAATTTATTCCTTCCAATGAAACATATTAATATAACATACCCATAAATTAACCAAACATATTTTCCTAAAAATTCCCAATAATCTTCAAGGTAATATAACTTTCCAGTAGTCCAACATTCCCAATAATCTAACATTTCCTAAATCAAATGCTCCTTAAGGGGATGTTCGGTTGGGGATTATCTCTTGTTATTGAAGTAATGTTATCTTATATTACTTAAATTATCATGTTTGATTATCAAATAGTATAAGATTCCGATAATCTTCTAAAACCCAGAGTAATTACTGTTGATTATATAAGCGGTAATTTAAATACCTCTCTTTTCTTAGGTATTTTAAGGCTATTTGATAATTTTAATTTTGTTACAATTTTATCCTTAATTATTACAATTTGTGGACAATAATGCCCCTATTTTAAATTAATTTAGATGAATCTGCCATTACAATTTTACCCCTAATTAATTAAGTTTTTGGGCAGTAATGTCCTTATATTTAAAACAAATTATAGGTCACCTAAGACCACCACCACCACCGTCGGCTGTTGGCCACCATTGTTGGCCGCCTCTAACGTCATCGAAAAGGCGCGACCGTTTCTAGCCAAATGCATTATTGTTAACGATCACATATATGGATATTAACAACCATTGATCTAGCCGGAAACAACCAAAATGGATCTAGCCATTTCTGGCCACATCCACGGTCATATTGATACACGGCTGGCGGTGGTGGCTAGCAGCCAGCAGTAGCTTGAGGCGGGTGGGGTTGCTTTTGTTAGAAATTAAACTTTTATGCGGCTAAGGTGTTTTAGCAAAATATCAAATGTAGGGTGTTAAAAGAATTCAAAAAATAATAATATTTAAATAGAGAACAATTTAGTTATCTATATAACATACCCACCAATTTATTTTAACTTAACCAAACACATTACCCTAAACGTTCCCAGTAATCTTCAAAGCCCCTAAAGAGTAGCCACCAATCTAAATGTACCAAATCATGTCATTAAACACAAGGTGCGTTTGGCCCATTGCATTAGATTGAACTAAAATTTTCGTATTGAATTGGAATGAATTAACATAGGATGTAAGTAGATTAAAATTAATAATGTAACATTGGACAAAATTATAAATTAAAAGATAATATAATATAATTATTTAATATAATAATATTATTTTGAAATGCCAATGGGGTTGTCAGTTATCTATCGATGAGATTCTGACAGTGGTCTGGCAATACCGTCGGTATCATTGAATAGATCGTTAGATAATCTACCCAATTATGGTGACGAGGAGTCTTCCTGAAACCATGTTGCCAAAAAAATCCAAAAAAGATTGGCCGAATTTTTTTGACATTTTCAAAATTTTTACATATATTTTGATATTTAACACTTTCTACAAATTGTTTTTTTTTTTTTTGGTTAATATACGAAAATATACTTGAAAACACTTTTCGAATTCTGATAATGCTTATTTTACATGTTTGTTTTGTTAATTTTTTGAATTGGTTGAAATTTAAATGCATGCATGATCCACGATGAGTTTAATGTTTTATTCAATTTTCATGGTGTACATGTTTAAACGCAAATGCATAATCAATGTATGTCATGTGTGTTATGTTTCGTAATTAGTTGATTATATAGTTAAACTTTTCTCTCAATTTATTTTATTAAACTAAAAATACACATTCCTTTTCTCTCAATTTTTTTTTTTAATCCAAAAAGATTTAACTATTAACCATAAATTTCCTTTTTAAATTCTTTTGAATATTGATAAAAGTGAATTTAGGCCTTTATTGTTGAGTAATTGTTAAGGAAATTATGGTGGATTTCTATCGATAATGAAATTTATCCATTATTTGGAGTGAAAATAGAAAAATATATGTGAAATTTTTTTCCCCATATGTACAACTACACTCAAGCAAGTGAGACAGTAATGAAGAAAACATAAAACTCTAAAAGAAAAACTTTTAAATGAATATAAATTTAAATCAAATTTGCTATTTATAGTTTTTTTTAATTTCATAAAATAATTTCCAATGTCACCAAAAAAAAAAAAAAAACACCATAAAAAAAAAAAGTTCTATTTTTAGTTTCATTAATTAAATTGTATAATATGTATATTGATAGACTTGAGGGTGGGCTTGACTCCTCATCTAATAAGGTCCTATTAAATAGGAAGATTACCCTCTTTTATAAATCAATAGGTTTGAGGCGTACTTAATTGTTGTGAGGCTCCAATATATATATAGAGTAATGTTACAGTTACCGACTAGTGTGTACCGATTTTGTGCACCGAATGACGTGGTACAATCCTGGCCGTTTATTTATTATCGGTTAATATTAATCAACGGTCAGGATTTTGCCACGTTATTCGGTGCACAAAATCGGTACACACCAGTCGGTAGTTGTAGCATTTTCCATATATATAATGCCATGGAATTGCTACATTTATTGCCATTTAATTATTTTCCTTTTAATATTAATTATCACAAAAAGGTTGATATATATAATAACTTTATCCTTATATTAGATTTTTTTTTTCTTTTTTAGAAAAAAACATAATAAGAAAAATCAACAAATTATAATCTAGCTCATACATACACTTGATATACACGATAGAATAAACCCTCCTTGTTATAATAATAAATGAACCTTCACTAATTGTAAGGGCATTTTAGTCCTAATCGTACACAAAGAGCAGGATATTTCAGCTGTATGGGCCCTCCTTACCATTTTAAGTAATTCATTTAATTTTTATTGAATTTAATGTTCCTTAAATACTAAAAAATAAAAAGGCACAAATGTTTATTTTCTCCTAGGCATTTTTCTAAATTCATGAATAATTTTTTTGTTGTTGAAATTTATTAATATTTAATGAAATTTATATAATTTTTTTTTGCAAGTTTGACAATATTGAATTTGATTTCTAAAATTTAAGTTTTAATAATTAAATCAAACATAATAAAAAATTGAAAGTTTGACTGATGTATACATCTCATGTATATATCAAATTCTCTAAATCTTAAAGTAAATATGGTATTTTACGAATAATTAATATCTTACTTATATTATTAATTCATTTTAATGTTAATGTTATTGTAAGGGACGTGTAACATAATTTTGTCAGATTCTCCAATTCAAGTGAACAAATCACTTTATATAATATAATCATCTCACTTATTATATTAGCTCACAACAACGTAAAATATATGACATCAAATTTGATTTTTTGAAGTTTAATTTTTAACAATTGAATCAAACATAATAAATAATCGAAAGTTTAAACGACAATTATACATCCCAAGTAATATATTCAATTTTCAACTTGAAGAGTGGACGTGGTAATTTACCTAACATTAACATTTTACGTACATTATCAACTCATTTTATCGTTAATATTGTCACGACGAACATGTACCATTATTTTGTATGATTTTCTAATTCAAGTGAACAAATTACTTTACATTACCATCGCTCTTACCATACCACCATGGTAACACACGAGTGTTTTTATTTCCCAAATAAAGCAAGTTCAGAGGGCATTCTAGTCCAAAAAGGTACAACAGCATAACAGCATACGCTTTTACACATGCCCCACTTACCCTTATTAAGTAACATCCACTGTTTATTAAGAACTAAAAATCACAAAAAAAGAAATAAAAAAACCCCAAGAGATTTTCCATTTGTTCTCTGTAAGAAGCAATCTTTCTCAGTTTCTCAGATCTTTAAATTATTTTAAATTTTTTATTCCCTTTTTACAAAAAGCCTGTGTAAGATTCTCTCTGTTATAATTTTTTTTCACTGTAATGAAAAAAAAAAAAAACCATTTTTATAATTCGAAGAAGATCTAGCTAGAAAGAAAATTCGCCTTGGATTTTCCGGGAAAGTTACTGAATTTCCTGGAAAGTTTTGGTTTTTCCTGCAACCCGGATTTAGATTTCACTTGGGTCCAAGAGGTTCTAGGGTTTGCTTCTTCTTTGAATCTTCATTTCTCTGTTGTATTGTGTTGTAGTTAGTTTGTTTAGTGATTTGATAGATCTTTTTCTTTCAAAATTTACTTGTTTAAGGTTTGGTTTTGCCGTTGTGTGATCTGTTTATGCTTAGTTGTGGAATTGAAATTTGTATTGTTAGTGTTTTCTGGGGGTTTCATTGAATTCTCCATTTAATTTGGTTTGTTTGGTGTTTTGTTGAGTTGGGTTGAGTTATATATCGATTTCAAGGTGTTGTTGGGTGTCAAAATTGTGTCTTGATTAGATGCGTTGAGAAAGATAACGATTAGTGATTAGGATTTTGTTCATATCATTGATATTCTTATTCGGAGAGTTTGGGGATTTTTTTTTTCTAGGGTGTCTAGATGGATAAGGATAAATCTCCGAGTCAGGTTGGTGGTTTACCGCCTCCATCTGGTCGTTTCTCGAGCTTTTCTTCAACTGGGAACCCTAATTTTAATGTGAAACCTGAGCCAACGACGTCGTCATCGTTCCCGCCGCTAGCTCCAGGTGGTTCTATCTCTGACGGGGCACATTTCACTCATCAGTCTGATTCTAACCGTTTTAGCCATGATATTAGCCGAATGCCTGATAATCCACCGAAGAATGTGGGCCACCGTCGGGCTCATTCTGAAATCCTCACTCTGCCTGATGATATTAGCTTTGACAGTGATCTTGGTGTGGTTGGCGGTGCGGATGGGCCATCTTTCTCGGATGAGACTGAGGAGGACTTGTTGTCAATGTATCTGGATATGGATAAGTTCAATTCTTCAACAGCAACATCTGGTTTTCAAATGGGTGAGCCATTGGCGGCTCCAGTTCCAGCACCAGCAGCAGCCCCGGCACAGGCGGCGGCTGGTGGTGGTGGGAGTTCTTCTGTAGAGAATGCAGGCGTTGGGTCCACTGAGAGGCCCAGGATTAGGCATCAGCATAGCCAGTCAATGGATGGTTCGACAAGTATTAAGCCAGAGATGCTCATTGGGGGTTCAGAAGAGGCGCATGGTGCTGATTCTAAGAAAGCTATGTCTGCTAACAAGCTTGCTGAGCTTGCTCTTATTGATCCAAAGCGTGCAAAAAGGTATGCTTTATATGAGCTGAGATCGTAAAATGAATTTTAGTGATCTTTGTTTGTTATGAACTTGATGTCAGTTATAAATTTACTTTTTCTAGCATGAAATACTTTTTTATTTGTTTTTGTTATTGCCCTCGTATTTATATGTAAAAGAAAAATAATTGTGAACGCTTTACTTGAATTTTAGAGGTAAGCATGCGTGAATGGAAAGTTTTCTGTGGCTATTTAAATGTGTAGGCTCTTTTTAGAGAAATGATGTTATCTTTTAGCTCTGTTTTTTACAAGAAACTGATTGTAAAGTCAAAACTCTTTGATTATAGTTAATTGAACTGTAAAATATTTCTGCATTATATTAGATGGAATTGTATTTTCCTATTAAACTGTGCTCAGTTTAGAATGTATTTATGGCACTTGAGGGAATTATCTTAAGAGTATCGAAACTTAGATGGCATTTAATCAGTAAAACATTGTGTGTTATTGGTGTGATGGGAAGTAGGTGAACATGGATTGTGCTAGAATCCAAACCGATACAACCCAATTTTGAGACCCAAATGAAGAAACCAACCTAACCTGTGCAATGCAATTAAGATTGTGTACAGGGACTGCTTTTGTGAACGTTATGTTCAAATTCTAACACATTGAAGAAGCCTATCCGGAAAAATAGTGATCACACGTGTTTTCTCCATCTACACTATCAATTTTTTATTAGTTACCTAAAGCCAGATATCCAATAGTTTTAATATTTAGGCAACTATTAGTCACATCAACCATTTATGTTTATGACATACCAATGTTTGTGGACATAGTTTGGTAAAACAGATAGATAAATTATTCTGTGGAAAATCTGTATACTAAGGGCTAATAAATATTAAAAAAAAAAATTCAGGAAATGTATACTTTAGTGAAATCTTCAAATTTATTTATTTTTGATAAGAAACTAGCCGAAGTTAGATCTATACATTATCTGAAACTTCTATCCTAGAATGAAGAGCTCACCTGGCACTATATGCAATTATGCCTAGAAACACATTTCATGGTCCATTATATATTTTATACTTCTTGAAAAGATTCAAATAGAAATATTTATTTAGGCCATATCAATGATGATAGTTAAGGCAATGGGTAGATACCATAAATTGAGAACACTTAACAACATTTTTTGGTTTAATGTATAGTTCTTAACTTCCAAACAATCAAATCGAAGCTCATAACCTCCCATAATTATTACTCCTAAGACCACTTGACTTCAAGCTATTTGGAGATGAATGCTTTCCCTCAAACAAAATATCTGGTATTTTGATACTAAGATTTTGATGGCTATCACGGCCTAATATGTGCCCTGTACTCACTCTGTCCAATTGCAAGCCTTTTTTTTTTTTTTTTTTGCTATAGGAAATGAAAGGGTTGTATTACTGTATAAGAGATACAGTAGAAGACCAGGTGTCCGCAATTGTAAAAAACAAAAACAACTGCATGATTGAATTGAATCTTCGGCATTGTGATTAACTAGTGAATATAGACAAAAGAGTAATCTTTGCTTCCCAAAACCCTTTAGAAACTCACTACCTAACAACCCCTTCTGGATTGAGTTGAATAAAGAAGAGACGAGTTTTGGAAATCCGTAGAAATCGAGGACCAAGAAGATGCTGGAAAGCAGATCTTGTCCTATAAATTGCTGACTTCTAGTTCATACCTATAGGCAAGTGAGTTGTGAATCTATTCCATTAGCTCATGGCTCTACTGTTATACCATATCTTCTTTTACATAATGATGCTTTAGCAAGAACTGTAGGATGTGGTATCAATGTGTGCTTTCATACATACCTGCCCTTTTAGTTGGTTTTCTTTCTGCTGAAGTTTAGCTTTCCTTGTTTGTATGCTCTCTCTCTCTCTCTCTCTCTCTCTCTCTCTCTCTCCATGAAGATTCTTCTCGTTCCTCTTTGTTTTATGTTGCCCATACCATTGACGTTACAGTCTTGTTTTATGCAATCTGATAGGATCTGGGCAAACAGGCAGTCAGCTGCAAGGTCAAAGGAAAGAAAGATGCGATACATAGCTGAACTTGAACGGAAAGTACAGACACTACAAACTGAAGCAACCTCATTGTCTGCTCAATTGACTTTATTGCAGGTAAGTTCATCAATGCTGCAGAGTCATTTTTGTCAGACTTCACATATTGGTTTTCTTTGGTATGGATGTCATGACTTATCTTTTTTGTTATGAGCTTTCGCAGTTTTAAGCTTATGTTGAATGTATTTCGCCAACAGTAAAATTAATTGATGTAAATGTTCATCTTATGAGCAGAGAGATACAAATGGTCTGACTGCAGAAAACAGTGAATTGAAACTGCGCTTGCAAACAATGGAGCAACAGGTCCACTTGCAAGATGGTGAGGTTCTCTTGGGAACTTTCTTATAATGACTAATATTCAGTTTCAGTTGACTTATTGTTTCTCTTTCATCTTATTTCTGGTTTTAATAGACTTACTGAGACCATATTGTCCAAGTTAATAATTTGTATTATTTTCATTTTTCCACGAGAATTCTAACTTTGCCAAGAACATGAAAAACACACTTTGATGCTTTGTATTTGCAAACAGCTGAAGGTTGCTTTTGTTGTCAGCTATGTGTTTACACACACACACACACACACACACAAATATTCTATGTGAATGTCAAAGCAAGAGATAGATAGAGAGGATATACTTATTCTTTCTCTTTTGTTGAGGAGGGTTTGAATCCTCACATGGTTCAATTTCATCCTCTTAAGATTTTACAACTTTTTACTATTTCGTTTCAATATGTTTATTACCTGTTGTTGCCTGTTAATTATTATATTTTTTTCGGAGCTTTTCTTGCTTCTGGAGTGCTCACACATCAGCATGCGATTGTTTGTTTAACATTTTCTGTCTGTGTTCTGATGTGCGGCCCTGTGTTGCTTCCATGTTAGCAGCATAACTTTATCGTACCTTTATGTGATGCATGTTTGATCTGTGGCCATGTGACATCATGTTTATGGAAGCCTTTTTCTTCTTTAGGTGTGTTAATTTTTGTTTAGGATTGATTTTGCTTATGTTTGTAATATATTAGGATGATATAATAATATTAATAATAATCAACTTGAGAGGTTCCTGAACTGTTTTGGTGGTTATTTAGGAATTTGATTTACTTACTATAATTAATAGGTCACATCCTTGATTGATAACTCTGGTGGTGAATTCCATTCACCATGGGAATCAAAGTAAAACTTGTTAGTGGAAGTAAGAAACTAGAAAGAAAAAGGAAAAGATATGATGAAACTTGAAATACTTACAGTAGCCTATGATGCCTTATAATGTAATCTTCATTCATTTCATATTGTTATTGAATGCCATATCTCAAATACTCCTAATACGTATGCAACAGCTCTTAAATGTACCCACAATTGCCTTGGAATTTAATTTTAAGATTTTGAAAGTGCATCACTAGTTCTTATTGCATATTCTGGATGGATGGTTATTGAACCCATGTAAAATGTTAGGACAGTTCAACTATTTTAGTATTACATAGGAATGTTGCTGTAATCCGTTACTTACCAAGTGTTGGAAGATTTTATTACATGTATGGAGAAGTGATTAGTTTTAACATAAGATCACTTTTACTTTTTTTTTTTTTTTATTCACATGCATGGTATCATATATGTGTGTATCATTATTATCTTACATCGTATGTGAAACATTTCAACTTTTCACTGAATATTTTCTGTTAGAAACCGATGGATTTTTTTTTTGGGTGACCGGGCATGTTCGGGCCAGTTTAGCTCAAAACCTCAAAAGTTTAATTTTATATAAAAATATTTACAATGAGATTTATTCTCCCAGATTCAGAAACTATTGCTTTCTAATGTAAATATACAATTTCTCTTCTTTTCAAGTTTCTCTCCTTCTGTATGTTATACAATTATTTTCATTGATAATGAGTTAAAGAGAGATGCATCAAATCTACATCCACGTATTTCACTGTTTTAATAATGTCTATGTTTTAGTTGATTAATGTATTATTATGCCAACTCAATAATATTATACCAAATTATCTGTCGAAGAAAGTTTCCGTGCCGAATTAGAAGGCTTTAATAAACGATCTTTTTTTAATTTGAGTTTTCATTTAGCTTTTCTTGTTGATAAACTTTGTAGGCTTCTTCTAAGTTTGGAATGTTGGAAGATATAAAATTACATCACATTGTTCGATGTTTGGATTGTTAGAATTCACTCATATAACATGCATTATTATTTCAATCTTAACAATCTTTGCCCCTTCTCTTTTACATGTTAACTTTTTTAGCTGCTATAACCCTTTCAATTTTTTATTATATGTGAATGAGAACAATTAGTTTGGGTGCATAAGTTAGAATTTCTGTTGGACATGGTGTTGTCACTTGGCAGATTACGAGGTTCTGGGTAGTGGCTACTGCTGACCTTTTTAAATTTAGTAATGTAATGAAATATCTTTTATGCTTTTTGTTTTTGGTTCTAATTTTGGTTGTCTGGAGCTTGCATATCCTTTGGTGGCTTTCTGATGACACACTTCAGTGGTTTGTAATGACACGTTAGTTAATGCTTTCCAGAGTGGCTAACAATAAGCTGGTTGACTGCAAATGGAATTTGTCCAGTTGATATACATTGATATGTAGTGGTAATTTTTAGCAATGTTTTCCCCTGAGGAGTAGCCTAGTTGGTTAGATTTCTTATGAGGAAACAAAAGGTCTAGGGTTCGATCACCCTAACCACGACCTTGTTGAGGGACTCAGTTTAATTTGTGTTTTTGTGTGGAGTGGGGCAGTTGTGGTAAAATATACATATATTAATGGTGTTTTTGTGCTGTGTGTGCTTGTATGTTAAGAAACTAGTCTCCTTATGTATTGTCGTTTACTTCTTGTTTTTACTTGTTTGATAAGAAGTTAGTTTCCTTGTGTTGTCATTTACTTGCTAATTTCTGGAGATACGTTACACTTTGTTGCTGTTACTCTTATGGTTATGATATTACCATAACATTTTTCTATATCTATAAAGATACTGCTATAAAAGTGAATGGTATTCTCAGTTTCCATAGATGGATTCTCAGTGCAACACTTGGTGCTACTTCGTGCTTGAGTTCTGTATATGTGGTATTCGTTGAATTTGGAATAGTATTATCTTTATTGCATTTAAATTTATTGAATGGATTCTAAGAGAAGTAGCAAAATCTTTGTGAGGAAGTTAAATCTGCATAGGCTGTTCTATTCATATACCTTAACAGTCTTATATTATTAGCACAAATAGAACTATAATAGCTTTCTTTTCCACTCATTAACTTGGTATTTATATTTAACTGTCTCGGTTTTATTAATGACTATATGTGATAATATTGTTTTTACTGTTTTCTGTTTTTACAGCACTAAATGATGCATTGAAGGAGGAAATCCAGCATCTGAAGGTATTGACTGGCCAAAATATGCCGAATGGTGGACCTATGATGAACTTCTCTTCTTTTGGAGCTGGCCAGCAATTTTACCCAAATAATCAAGCCATGCATACTCTTCTAACCGTGCAGCAGCTCCAGCAGCTCCAGATTCACTCTCAGAAGCAGCAGCAGCAGCAGCAACATCAGTTCCAACAGCACCAACTGCATCAGCTTCAACAGCAACAGTTGCAGCAGCAGCAGCAGCATCAGATGCAGGAGCAGCAACAGCAACAACAACAACAATCTGGGGACTTGAAAATGAGAGGACCAGTTCCTTCTCCAAGCCATAAAGATAATGCTTCAGATGTCAACCCTTCTGCCGCAAAGGACTGAGGAGTGAATCGGGCAGTTTTCAGAATCTTATTTTAAATTTGTCCTCAGATAGGATATTCTTACCATTTCTTGTAGTTCGCTTAGATGCAGCTTTAGACATTTAATTTTAGGCAGTGACCTTCTTTTTAGTTGGAGACTAAATTATAAGAGTTACCTATCATATTACATCGTATAGTCTATTTAGTGACTTTGTTACAGTGGCGTGTCCCTGATTTATCTATTACATCACAATTTTGTAAGATTTCCTTTCTTTCACGCCCACACACACAGAAATTCAACCCCGTGTTGTCTTTTATTTACATTCTCTTGGCTCATAGAGAATTGTGGTGTGCGTGCCTTTGTCATTATTCAAGTGGAGCTCATTGTGAAAGACTGCTGATTCATTTGCATTGTCTGTGATTCTGTAGTTGGTTTTCTGAAGCAGGATTCCAACAGTATTTTGATAATTCTGAAAGGCAACGTGGCGACTGCCGCGTCTCTTTCACTGTCATCTACCCAAGAATGCAGTTCACAGTCAGATCCGTTCTTCCTCTTGTTCAAATGTGTTTTCAGGTCACTCGCGTCCAACTTGGTGAGCTTTTAAACTAATTCTTTCTTGGTCTAGTTCTTCACTCAGGTGGTTTCTGGATATATTTTAGGGTACTTTTCTTAGAAACGCTTTCTGGGTAGAAGCACTTTCTGTAATAATGCCAAGTGTTTCTTTAAAACGGGTATTCCTTTGTTTTAGAAACACTTCCTGTTTGAAAATGCTTTTAATGATTTGAAAAAGCATTTCAAACCGTACCTTGTTTGGGAAAAGATTCATGCCAGTCATTTTTATTATTCTATATGAATCATTCTTTAATCAAGATGTCCTGGTATAAATTTTCAGAATCATAGATATATACCGTTGGATTTATTACATTGGATTTAAATGACAGTTTACAATTCAAATCAATGGTGCATATGGATGGACTTAATATAAATTGGTGGATATGTATGGTCCTGTTGGGCTCCGTTTGGCTCAAGCTTGGGAATACTACTTTTAGTATTCTCAATAAAGTTAAAGTGTAAAATACCCAAAAAACTCACAATATTATCCAATATTATTCATTTTTTTTAAACCTCCTAAATTTGTTAATTTAATTAAATACCCTTAAATATTTTTTTTTCGAAATTGTAAAAACACTCCTAAACCCACATTATACCAGATTTCGGCTATCACTATCGAAAGTTGGCTGGAATCTGGTAGGATGGCACACTACTGGTTGGATATTGCCAGTAGTGCACCGATCTAACATTTTTTGGCCAGATCCACGATGGATTTGATCGGAAAAGGCCAGATCTAAGGTCAAAGATCTGGCCGTTGACAGCCATATCTTTGGCCATAACCAGTCGTTAACGACGGCCAACATATAGTCGTTATTGACTATCAATGATGACCGTATCTTTGGCCGTCGTTGACGAAGATCTACGGCCAGATCTGGCCGTCAATGGCCAAATCTAGCCGTAGATCTAGCCTTTGCCGGCCAGATCCACCGTGGATCTGGCAGGAAAAGGTCATATTGACGCACGACCAGCAAAATCCAGCTGGTCATGCGCCGATACGACGACTCCGGTCACCCTCCGAAGGTGGTGGTTGACTGTCCGTATTTGATGGGTGGGTTAGAGGTGTTTTTGTTAACTTTTAATGTTTTATTATAAGTGTGTTTTGTAAAAAAACAAACATAGGGAGTATTTTATTAATTTGTAAATCCTACATCATAATACCCGCCCAATTCAAATTTTTTTTAACTTTTTTCAAAATTTTTTTCCCAAAAATGTAAAAATGTGAACCAAACGGAGCCTTGATGTTTTGACCTCTGTTTTAAAAACTGGACCGGCTGGTCGGATCGGTCTGATCGGGACCCGGTAGCTTCTTCCGGTTCAAGTCTTAGGGGGTTTCTATAATATTTCAAAATTATAAGGGTTAACTTGTAATTTTATAGGGGTGTTTTGGAGATATATCAAAAGTTTATGGATTAATTGGTAATTTTTGGGGTATTTTTGAAATAAATAAAAATTTTAGGGACTAATAGAACTTTTTTAGGAGAATTTTTGTAATATATTAAAATTTAAGGGATTAATATGTAATTTTTAAAAATAAATTTGTCGTTGATGTCATCGGTCTAACTAGTTGAACCAGTTGACTCATGACCTGGGCAGCAAAATGGATTGTCCTCCTGTCCGGGTTTTAATACAATGGTTTTGATTAGAGAATTATTCTATATCTGAGATATTGAAAACTGTTTGAAGAGGATGATGCGTTTGTAGAATTATTCTATATACATAATATCACCTCTTAGCATGAATTGGGCCTCATAGTGTTGGGTTTGGGCCGGATGTGACATCTGGTATGTTTAATATACCACCTTGAATAATGTACTTTGGTTCTTTAATAGATGTCTATGTGAAAGTGTATGATTTCAGGTGTCGTGCCAAAACATAAAAGAGTTTCAAATAAGAGAATTTTTTAGTTCATGATTGTCATAAGTTTACAAGATATTAAAAGTGATACAAATTTCTTTTGTGTCAATTGTCACTTATGGTATAAATATAATAACCATCATGTTGTGTTTCTTTGAAACCGAGTAAATTTCTTTAAGGTTAATTGGAATATAAGATATCACGATACCAATAAGATGGAGACTCTTCTTCTGCCAAACGCCCGCATGTTTGACATTTTTAATTTTTTAGTATTAAGCATCCACTGATTTTGGAAATGTATTTATAACCCCAATTTTTTGCGACTGTTAGGTTATTTTGTTTAAGTTTGTAAAGAAATAACTTTTTTATTATTCACCTAAATTCAATCAATTTAACATCCAAAATCTGTCAACATATTAAAGAGATTAATATATTTTTTAGAAGTTAAATTGATAAAGGTGTTGATAAATTTGAAAGTTGAATTAATGACATTTATGAAATTAACGGCTGCTCACTATACAAAAAAAGGGCAAACACACAGGGGTTAAGGTCGCATCTCTGAAACCAATGGATGCTCACTGCAAAAAAGATCAAACACATGGGGGTTAGAATTGCATTTCCGAAACCAACGGATACTCTCTATAAAATGGCTAAACAAACGAACTTAAAAATCCCCCAAAAAATGTATAAAGAAACCAACAAATATAAACTCTAAAACCAAAATAACATCTCGGTAAATTTTATTTACCGTGCACCTTGATATCTCATAACCTTAAGAAACTAAGTAAAATTACATGCAATAAACTTCTTAATTGTTTAAGCATATATATGGGATTTTATCTTGGTTCTTAAGAAATCAACAGAAATCGAATCTTGTCAACATAGTACAATCCTGAAACCATAACATTTTGTTAAAAATCAGAGTTCTGCTAGAGTGATTAGTTCCCAATTTGTTTATACTTTCAGAATTCATCATATTTGAAGGTAATTATGATTGACAACCTTAATAGCATGCTGTTCAAACTCCAGATGAAGAGCCTCTCTTTAGTTAAAAATTGAGACCAATCTGAAAGAAATTCTCCAGGTTGTATGTTTCAAGATTGTTGTTTGCTGTAGTTATTTCTAAGTCTATGAAAATCTCTCTCTGATGCCTACAGAAATGTTGCACTTCTAATGCCTACAGATTCTAATTTTATTGTTGCTGCAATGCAAGTGAGATCTTTACGTTTAAATTGCTCACTGAGATTGACTTCTTATTTCTGTGAAAGCCAAAGCTCTTATCGTAAATACAAACCCTTCATTTACATTGACAATGCAATAGGCAGACAGTTGCTATATATTTACATGACTGAGTAGCCTGGACTACCACCTTCCTCTGGCACTGTCCATTCTATGTTTTGCTTTGGATCCTTGATGTCACAAGCCCGAAAATTATCCCAAGTTAACAAAATGTTCATCATAATGCTTTTTGATGTTTAAAAATTTATTTTAAACCTCTGTTGCAGAAGCAATCTTGTATATGCTTAAACGATATCCATCTGGTTATTATAAGTTATAACTACACCGAACTCAAAAATAAGTGAAGGAAGTCTGTATCTGGGATCAAATGCTTATTTGAGTTGAGGGTTCTGTACCCTATCGAACTTAGGATAGATGCAAACTTCGAAAGAAAAAGAGTAGATCCTTGTATTTGATGAAAAGTGAGACAAGAGAAAACTACACTGAAAGTTCAGTACTTCAATTCTACTACTTCTGTGGGTTAAATATTATCGGACAGTGCATCACACTTCGTCTGTCACATTTATACGGTTTTGAGTCTTTTGACCAGATAAGATATAACAAGGACTGACGCCAAATAAAAATAAAACCTGAATCTACGCACATGAAGAAAGCTACTTCTTAAAATCTTAGCAATACGTAGTAAATGAAGAAAACAGTTTGGATTTAATTGTGTGGTTGCCGCACCTCTAGAATCATCCTTCTATCAAGCAAAAGAAGCTTAAGTGCACAACAAATGACTTAAACAACCTTTTTCTGCGACAAAAGTGTTAATGAAACATAGGATGATTAAGAGCTTCACTTACTTCTTCGATAGAGTTGCAAAAATGTCACTAGTTCTATATCATACTTATGCAGAGATAGTTCAATAGCCCCCAACCAAATTATATGTTTTGCCGTAATCAAGGGAATATTATATATAGAATTTGTGGTCAATAAGTTAAGGAACAGTAACACACCAGAGGACCCAATTTAAAGATGCAGCAGCAGCAGCATATGCAGGAGCAGCAACAGCAACAGCAACAACAACAATCTGGCGAGTTGAAAATAAGAGGACCAGTTCCTTCTCCAAACCACAAAGATAATGCTTCAGATGTCAACCCCTCTTCCGCTTAGGATTTAGGAGTGAATCGGGCAGTTTTCAGAATCCTATTTTAAATCTGTCCTCAGATAGGACATTCTTACCATTTCTTTAAGTTCACTCAGATACAACTTTATTACATTTAATTTTAGGCAGTGACCGGTTTTTAGTTGGAGACTAATAGAGTTACCTATCATATTACATGGTATAGTCCATTTAGTGACATTGTTACTGTCGCTTGGCCCTGCTTTGTCTATTAGATAGCAATTTTGTAATATTTCCTTTCTTTCATACTCATATTCAATCTCTTGGATCGTCTTTTATTTACATTCGTTCGTTTCTCAGAGAACCATGGTGTTTGCGTCTTTTTTACGATTCAAGTGGAGTTCATTGTGACTGCCGATTCATATGCATTGTCTGTGATTCTGTACTCAGTTTACTTAAGCAGGATTGAAAGGTTTTCCTATGGCAACTATGATTGAAGGCGATGTTTGTATTATTTTGTGCGGGTGGTTTACTGTCGCCTTGTGATTTTTCCTTTCTACTTGAAATGAAGCTAATTTAATAAAATCCATATTATAAATTCAATCAACCACTAAAGGAAGTGGACTGATATTAGTCATTACCAAACTCATTGGTTTACATTCTTATTGTGTGTGATTTTTCCTCAGAGATGTCAAAAGCCCGCAAGACTATAGTTTAACCCAGAATCAATTCGATTCAGCACTTGTCCGACTCAGCAGAAGCTCGTCGAAATATAGCTAGACCCAACATAAGCTAGTCGCGACCAACCCTAACAGTTGTTCGACAAATCACAAATAAGCTCATATCTCAAATATTTTGGAATGGATGAGATCAACAACAATGATAGCGCGATCTTAGTGCTTGATCACAAGAATATCAGAGTTGCACTTTTATTTTGATTGCAATTCCATTAATTTTTCTCTTTCGTTTGTAGAAAACTTGTATACAAACCCCTTCCAACAATGGAAGAGAGGTTAGAAATTTGTTTTAGGCATAGTAT